TGGGATGGCTCCTCTTTTTATGGTGAGGGAGCTCACGCCCTCCAAGGTCTCCAGGCTTTGCTCCTGCTCGCAGACCTGGGAAGGACGCAGGAGCCACGGGCGGCAGAGGGCCCGGCACTGAGGGCCCGGCCCAGGACAGGGTGGCCCAGGTGGAGTGGCCGAAGCAGCACCTTTCTGTAAATGGAAGCTTGTGATCAGGCTGCATAATCCCTGTGCGGTTACTGTAGATCGTGTACAAAGCCCCTGCGGGAACTGGATCACAGTGCACTGTCATTAATCCGTTTCAGCACGAGATGGCTTTTTTTTTCTTCCCACTAGCTTTTCCCAGCCTTGGTCTCCTGAGAAGTTTGAAAAAGACAAACTCACCTTCAATTTAAGCTCTGTAGCATTAGGAATATGTTCATAACTGGTTATTTAAGAATGTATCTTAATTCCATTAATAAATATTTATCTAGTGTCCATATAGTGCTTGAAACTGCTAGGTACTGTGAACCTCTGTGGATGATTCATTGAAAGTATTGAGCACTTATGATGATCTTATTTCTGCTAGAAACTGGAAATACAAAGATGAATAAGACTGGGTCCTCACTGTGAATCAACTGAATGGTCAAGGAAAAAAACCTAAAGACATAGGCAATGTAATATTGTGTGGCATAGATATGCCTGGAATGAGATGGCAGCACAGATGAGTGCATGTTAGGGGAGGAAGGGTAGATGACTTTCTGGAGGAAGTGGCCTGAGAGTAGAGTTTCCGAGGACGTGTTTCGGCATTTAGTGTGTGCCAAGCAAGCGTTTCCTCGACTCGTAGGGGAGGAAGCCCTCCCAGATGGAGGAAACCTGGGGAGAGTTGCCAGAGTTTCTCTAGAGTTTGTGCCAAGGCAATAGACATGAGTTGCTGTGGTTCGAGACAGATTGTGTTGTCATGTTGGCTGTGTTCTTAGAATGGGAGTCAGCATTATGATCGGAGGCACACCACCCCACTCGGCACTTACCCACCAACTACCTCGTGTTCTGCAGCAGTCATTTGGCACAGGCTGGGCGTGCCGCCCTGGGAATGCTGGAAGATGGGCACCACACATGTGAGTGCTACTCTCTGCGAGCAGTATATATGGTGTGTGCCCTCTTACTACTTGCTGATGGAGAACGTGGCGCTGTCCTCTGGGATGGTCTCCTACTTCGTTTACAGACAAGGTCAAAGATCCCTCCAAATCCATTCTCTGAGAGCAGTTGACACGTAAGTGCTGAGTTGTGTGCTTCCAATCACACTGTGGCAATTGAGGGAAGGACAGACAGTGTAGGAGAGAGTGTGGAGGCAAACTGAGGGGGGTCAGTGGACTGGAGAGAGCTTTACAGTAGCTGTGAAGCTAGAGGATGGCTTTGTTAGCCAGGATTTGGAGAATGAAGGTGACACATTCACAGGATGCTGAGGGTGCCAGCGAGACTGACGGCATCTACGGGAGGGGTCTGGTCTGGTTGTAGACAGCCTTGGAAACCAAAGATCAGAACTTCAGGCTAAGGCCAGGGTGGTTATGTGCAAGCAAGTGGCATGTAAGGCCGGGTGATTCCCCAGCTGCGTGAGTATTGGGTGATAGTGGGGTGTCAGTTTGAGTGTCCTACAGTGTTTACACCTAAAGGAGAACCTGCTACGTTGCCCTGGTTACAGATTCAGGGTCTGATCTGAGGGTCGTAACTAGTCATGGTGGAGGTGAGGCTGTTGAGCAGGTCACCGGGGCTCATGTCGTGCCCCTGACTCCCCAGAAAACGGCTTCATTTTGCCTTAATTCATGTTGCCCTCCAACACTGAGGCCCTTTGTTATTGCTACTGTTGAGGAAGGAAAAAAAGTCTTGTTGAGGATCACATCACGTAAAGGCCTCAAGACACATACAAAGGAAGTAACAGCTTAAGACCACAATGGGAAGGAAGGTCTTGGTGCTTTAAGAGCAAGCCAAAAGCAGTCACGCTCAGACGGAGAAGCAAAGATTCTTCTTGCTGACAAATGACAAGCAGGTTTTGTAAAGAAAGGGAACCATTTGTGGTGACATGGGTCATAGTCAATATAGGGCCGAAATGTTGAACCCTCCAACTGGAATTTCCAAACTCCCCCCTTTGTCAAGTGTGGTATGGACAGATCTCCAGCTTTCCTGTGGGGCTGGGCCCTGGGAGCTGCACGGCCCCTCCCCCGAGGGGAGCCCCCAGAGCGCTGACTCCTCTAAGCTCACCTTAGCTTGCTGCCCATTGCTTTTGTCACTCTCCCCATGCAGACAAGCTGTGTGAGTGGTCATCCTTAGACAAGGTGCTGGTTTGAAAGAAACAGGCGCCTGCAGGTTCCTAAGTACAGAGGACCTTACATGGAAATAGTCTTTATGAAGCCCCCAGAGGCAACACATGAATGGATTACACACTGTTGAGCCAACAGAGTCCTTGAGTGGCACCTTAAAAGCTGGACCATTGCCCAGCCAGAGTGGCTCAGTTGGTTGAGCATCGCCCTGTGCATCAAAAGGTTGCCAGTTTGCTTCCCAGTCAGGGCACATACCTGGGTTGCAGGTTCAATCCCCGCTCAGGGCATGTATGGAAGGCAACCAACCGATCGATGTTTCTCTTTCACATCAATGTTCCTCTCTCTGTCTGTCTGTCTCTCTCTGCTCTCTCCTTCCCTTCCTCTCTCTAAAAACAACAACACAACAACAAAAAGAACGAGACCATTACTTAGTCCCTGGGCCCGAGCCATGCTTACAGGGTGGGAGTGGTATCCTGAGATTTCCGTGGAATCCCCAGTCTCTGGCTTCCAGGTGTGGATAATCAAGGTACATTTTAGTGACTGGGGATGGCTTATAGCAGTTCTTAACTGGGCTCCATATCGAAAGTGTATATTTTTTCTCTCTCTTTCTCTCTCTCTCTTTCTCCTTTCTTTACATACTAGAGGCCCGGTGCGAAATTCGTGCACTGGGGGGTGGGGGTCCCTCAGCCCAGCCTGCCCCCCTCACGGTCCGGGAGCCCTCAGGGGATGTCCTACTGACGGGGAGCAGGCCTAAGCTGCAGTCCGGCTGTGGAGGGTTGGAGCAGGCGCCCCTCTACGTTGATCTCTCAGGCTCGGGACCACACCCAGACCCACCTCCTGAGCTGGTCATGACCCTTAACGAGTCCCGGCCTCATTTGCATATTCCTTCTTTTTATATATTAGATGCACATACACATATATCCTTATTTAGGCCTCAATTTTGTTAGCAATTTGCTCTCCGTTACCACTTAGAATTCTTAATCCACTCCTGACTGATCTGTAAAAAAAAAAAAAAAATCACACACTCTTTTCTTGAAGTGCGTGGGTTCTCAATACCTCTGACTCTGATTTGGTGGGGAGTGGGACTCAGGTGCAGAAATGTGCTTTTGTGTCTTGCTTTTTTGCCCGTGTGTGCTGCTCTCCGCTGACAGAGGGCTTTTCACTTTGGCTGCACATTTGGAGTCATTTGAGGAGCTTTATAAAATACGAGTGTGTGGGCCGTGTCCCTGGAGATCTGACTGAACAGATCTGGGTGAGGCCTGGGTACGAGGATTTTAAAAATTCCAGGTCGTTCTAACGTATGGCCACGATTGCACCTTGCCCACCTGCAATTTTCCACCAACATTTTCCACCGGCCTGAAGTGGATGCCAGGTCAGGATCTGCCTTTGGATCTGGGCCATCACGATTCCTAATTTTAGCCCTAGGCTTTTAGATTTATAGATGGAGAGGATGAGGCCCAGAGAGTGCGTTTCTTTCCAGGGGCAGCCCTTGCAGGTTGGCCAAAAGGAGAACGCTGACAGGTAGCTGCCACCCGCATTGGGACTGTAGTTTTAGGTTCGTCTTCGTATACTCCTCATTCATACTTGGTTTATTTTCATTTTTACGGTGAAAGTCACAACAACATGATTTTTTTTTAGCTTTATAGATAAATATTCTACTTGTAAAACTGTTTTCTCTCCAGTCCAAACATGCTTATGATGCATGTGAGCACACCTACAAATATGTCGTGAGGTAAGGAAACTCAGAAAGACGATGAGTAAGTTCCCATCTGGGGCCTCAGAATAATGTTATTTACTACTAGCCTCGGCCTTGTGGGAAAGGGGTAGGTAGCAAGCCTAGCGATACATTTCAAATTACTAGTTTGAAGTGACTGCTGAGAAACATTTTCCTTATGATAGAACTATCTTTTAGGCAAGGACTTTGATTTTAAAAAAATAGCATGACTCTATCCCCCAGAGTAATAAACCAAGTTCCTTTGCCAAAAAGAGCCATAAACTGGGTGCCCACACAGGGAAATCAGTGCTAGAGAGGACTGGGGACCCCTGCTGCTGAGTCTCCCCAGGACGTTGTCTGTGCGGTATCTCGTGTCCAGTGACCGTGGGATTGAACACAGTGTCACGTTTAATTGGAGCAGGAAGCACACGCCGCTTTGTGTGCGAAGCAGATACACTGGAGCGAAAGGCCAGTGCTTGGCCGAGGGCCAGAACCCACCGGCCACAGGGGGCCCCAGAAACCCTAGAGTAGGGTGAGTGCTCTGTCCTGGGCTGGGACGCACTCCTGCTAACACATGGCGAAAAGACCACCCCTCTCTGTCCTTTAAATTCCAGAGCCAGCAGCTCTCCCCATCCTGGGGTTCCTTTTCTGGCCTCTCCCTCGCCCTGTCCTGTGCCCCTCCTTGCCTGTTGGGAACTTAGCGACTTGTCCAGGTCACTGGGGACTTGGTTCTTGTTGGCAGGGCTGCCGCTGTGTGAAAGCGTCCGAGCCTCCGCTCCGCGTGTCTTGAAGATTGTTATTTTGACTTTGTGGGTCATTTGGTGGGTGGCCGGCTGAGTGATAATTCTGAATAGTAACTTTGGAATTTTATGAATCAAAAAGACAGAACTCCCACTGCACGTTGAAATGTGGGAGGATGCCTCAGGGCTCTTGTGAGTCACACAGCGGGGAGGGAGAGGAGGACCTGGCGCTAACGGACACTTGGCTTTTTTTTTCCGTCCCCGCAGGTCCCCCTCCTGCTTGTTACAGTCCCAGTAGTCCCGCCCAGATTCTAGAAGACCCCAGCTACTTTTTCCCAGACTTCCCGCTCTACTCGGGGAGGCATGAGGCGCCTGCTTTGACGGTGGAGGCCGGCGGTACCATCAGGGAGAAAGTTGGTAAGTTCCGTTACTGGCACTGGTGTTGGAAACACAAAAAAGATCTGATGTGTCTCATGTTTAGTGCTTTTTGCATACTTTTTTTTCTCTGTGCTCATTTAAAAAAATCAGCATGTGGGATTATTGGCTGTCTCTTTTTTGGCAGGTGCCTTATTTTTAATGTTTGTGTTACGGTGTTAACAGACTATCTCACTATAACTTGTGATTCAGCAGAGAGAGTTCCTAGGTATGTAGGAACTTCAGAATTATACCATTTTATCCCTAATTTTTCTCTAATTCCTAAATTCATTTTTGGTACTCCTTCCTAGAGTCTTTCCTTCTTTATTTTTTTTTTCCTTCTTTCTACTTCGTTTTAATCTTTTTGCAAATAACTCAGAAGTTCAGAAGAAATTCAGAACTATAGTAGGGAGGAAACTGCCTCCTTTGTAAAAATTTCCTGCCTATTTTTGAGATAAAACTATGAGGGATTTTTTATTTTTAAATATATCTTTTAATTGATTTCAGAGAGGAAGGGAGAAGGAGAGATAGAAACATCAATGATAAGAGAGAATCATTGATTGGCTCCTTTCTGCATGCCTCCCACTGGGGATCGAGCCTGCAACCCAGGCATGTGCCCTTGACTGGAATCGAACCAGGGACCCTTCAGTCTGCAGGCACGCGCTCTATCCACTGAGACAAACCAGCTTAGGGCACATAAGGGAATTTTTAAAAACACTTTAGGAAGGATCTCAGGGTCCGAATGTGCTTGTGAAAAGAGAATGTAATCATTTTCCTGCTTGATGACCCCCCATTCCTTTTATTATTCATTCAAAAAAAATAATTTTCCTCTGGATATACATTTTTATTTTAATAAAATAAAAAATGGTTTTTATTTGAATCTGCTTGTTCCAGTAAGCCTTTCGGATCAGTTATCCTGAGGTTAAGGGCGTCCTTTTTTACTCTCCTGCCCCCGCATCTGTCAGGAAGCCTGATGTAGCAGGTTTCAGTCCGTCTTTGTTTAGTGAGTGTGGCCCAGTTCAACCCACACTGATCGCTCTTTCCGTGGGTCGTTCATCACTTACTACGATTATTTGGCAGTTCACCTTGCGTGGACCTTCCATGATCTGTTTTTACTGTTTAAAATGTTTTGCTGTTGAACTTCGGATTTATATTTCAGATGCAGTTATCTGAAGGTAAGGGATACGTTTTGAATGTACTCCACACGTGCAATCCTCTGAGGCAGATAGGAAGTCTGCCCGTTTTACAGGGGACAGAGGTTCAGAGAAGACAAGTAATGTGCCTGAGGTCCCAGGTGAGGTTCTGGGGAGACGGAGAGAGTGATATGGTCAGCGTTGTGCTTCAGGACCATCTGTAGAGCTCTGTACCTTACTCGGCCATTATTTCCCGAAGGCCTTCTGTGGTCAGAGCCGAGTTCTAGACGCTGGCGATGCGGCGTGTGAATGTAGCAGATAAACTCTCCAGCCGCTGGTGTTTGGGTCTAGTAGAGGAAGACAGGTAATACATACAGTGTGGACTGAAAAGAGAACAGGCCAGAGGCAAGAAATATTCAGAGGCTATTCAGGACATCTAAGCCACTGGTCAGGAGAGCCAGACCTGGGGAATGGCCGCCTAGGGCAGTGGTCGGCAAACCGCGGCTTGGCAAACCGCGGCTCACGGGCCACATGCGGCTCTTTGGCCCCTTGAGTGTGGCTCTTCCACAAAATACCGACTTCTGCGCATGGGCCACGAAGTTTCGATCGCACTGTACG